TGTGTTGCGGGGGGGCGGGGGCGGGGAGGTTTGCGGGGGCAGCTGATCAATGATTCTCTCTCATCATTGATGTTTCTATCTCTCCTTTCCTCTCTGAAATAAATAAAAAAAATATTTTTAAAAAATGGAATTAAGCAACAAGAGCCGCCCTGTTAGGGCGGTGGCTACATGCAGAGTGTCTGACACAGAGCAGCCTCTGTGTGTTTATTAAAGAACCTTTCAAATGCAACACATTTGAAAATAACACAGCTTCTCTTGATTAGGCTACGATGGTGTCCTGGCTGGATCGGGCTCCTTTCAAAACTCAGCAGACACGAGCGAAATGAGGAGCCTCAGCCACCATCAACGCCCCGGAGATCCCCGGGTAGAGGAGAGAGGATCGGGGTCTGGGGGCAGGACAGTGAGCAGGAGGCGAAGCCAGTCAAGGGCCAGGGGGGCGAAGTCCCAGCCATGGGGACCGGCGGCCCAAAGTCGCTGTCTGGTTGCCGCCCCAGACCCTGGGGAGAGCCAAGAGGTGGACAGGAGCCCCGACCCCGACGTGGGGCACCCCGGGCCCTGACTATCTGGAATGGGAGCCACGGTCCGTCCCCCCATCATCTCAGCTGTGTGCCTGGAGGGTGAGACCAGTGTCCAAGGGTCGAGCAGCCCGAAAGAACAGAGACCTGGACGGGGCACCTGCTTCCAGCCCGGGAGGGGGCACAGACGTCATACAGCGGTGAAGGGGGCAGACCTGCCCTCCGCCCAGCCCACCTGGATACCAACGTGCGCCGTGGGACCAGGGCGCCTCAGACAGCCGTCCTCCTGGACTCCGGGTTGGGCAGCAGTAGAGCCTGGCACTGACCCGGGGCACCGCTTGCCTCTCTGCCTGGGCCACCCCTCCCGCAGAGCCACCCCGAGTGCCCACCCCTACACACCCAGAGAGGAAATGAGCCTGCCGCTGGAGCCATCACACACACACACACACACACACACACACACACACACACACCCTGACCCAGCCCCTTTCTGATGTGAGCTATGGGTTTCCTAGAACTTTCTAGACGGCAACACTAGGTCACCCTTACTGACTGCGGGAGTGCGGTCAACAGGTTGTCCTCTGGCTTCAACTAAGAGAAAAGCGACAGAGAAGCTTTCTGGGGGGGGTGGTTACACAGGGTGGGGTCCCAGCACCCGCTGAGGGGCCTCCGGCAAGGGCCCCCCATACCTGCAGGATTCCGGCCATGACAGGGGTGTGCTCTCGGCCAGGTCAAGCTCCCCCACCCCTGCCCTAGGGTCTTCTGGAAGTCTGCCCTGCAAACAGATCAGGGACCCCCAGTTGGAGGAGAGGAGGGTGCAGCTGCTCATGTCTGCCGTGGCCACTCCCTGGGGTGCAAGACATTGGGTTCTCTTCCCTCCACCAGGAAGTTTACTGAAAAGCAGCAAACTGTTCACATGTTAGTCCACCCCACTTTGGCTGAACTACAATAATTGCATCTAAAATGCATCTGCTTCAGTCCTCTTTGAGCCCTTTTAGACATGCAATATCTCATATTTAATAAGGCCGAGCCTGGTCATTCAGGCTGCGCAGGGGCTCACGTATGGCTCAGGTCAGGTGTGGATTCAGGCCTGGATTCCGGTGCAGACTCTGGTGAGGGCTCAGGTGTGGGCTGTGCTGTGGCTGTCCTGGACTTCAGTCCCAGGCTGCCTCTGCACTGTAAGGAGCGTCCCGGCGCCTGAAGAGTCATGGTTATGAAGGTGGGTACAGATCAGAATAGCTGATGTGCCCAAGGATGGGTCCGCCACAGATCCAATGGGCATATTGCATGCGCTCTCATTTTTATTAGTGAATTTTAATTCTAGTAAATTAATTATTAATGAATTAAACAAAATTTGATTATTCACTAAGACGAATGTTAGAGATACTGATAACGGGTGGGGTTGGTTGGGTTTTAACTAAGCGAGCCGGGTGGATGGGGGTCGGAGAAGGGCCGGTTCCGCCCATTCGACCTGCGGGTGGTGAGACCTGACATCCCCGCTCCTCCTCACCCCTCACCCCATCCTGGGGGCCTTCCGGTGGACGGGCAGGGCAGGGTGGGGGCGGACTGGCCTGCGGGTGGGTTGGGGGTCCCTAATCTGAGGAGCCCTCAAGCTGGTGATCCCCCCACAAGCTGTTCCAGGTGTTAAACCCTTAGAGGGGGTCCTGACAGGGCAGGGTCCTTACGCAGGGGGGTGTAATGACTGTAGGGCGGACGGGGCTCCGACCTGCCACCGGTCCCCCACGGGGTTCGACCTGGCCCCAGGGCAGGAGCGTGGCAATTGGGCCGTGCACAGCAAAGGCGAGCGGACACGAGCTCTGTGCCTGAGGCCCAGTCCCATCACGCCCTGGGGAAGCGCCAGGGGCCCCTGGACACCGCTCTCCCACTTCACCACCTTCTCTTAGGCGCTGGCTGTCATCGGCCCAAGTGTGCTGTATGGTCTTCTCTTTTTGACTTTAATTTTAACGGAGTGTAACACACACAAGTGAACACACAGGGGCAGCTGAGGGTCACACCGGGGAATGATCACACGTGGGCATCACACGTGGACATCACGGGACCACTGCTTGAGTCACGTCAAGAGAGAGAACACAGAAGCAAGAGGTCCAGGGAGCAGCTGTGCGCACTGGGAGGCCCCAGCTCAGGGGGGGCTGGCAGAATGGGGGCGGGCTGGTGAGGAGCGGTGGGGGCTGGGGGCCAGCAGTGCTTGGCTTTGTGTCTGGGCAACCCTGCGGAGGGAGAGACGCGGTGCGGGACCCGGGCGGGAGGTGGCCCGCTCAGACACGCGTCTGGGAGCCATCAAGAAGTGCACAGGTACAGTGTCCAGAGGACGAAGAAGATCATGCACATCCAGACCCAGACCTCTTCGTAGGGATCGAAACTCGGCCAGCACCAGCCGTCCTCCTCCTCCAAGAAGTCCTCCTCCCTGCGGGCCCGAGGCCTCCGGGCCCGGCGGCGCCTGTGCCTGTCGCAGTGCCCGCTCCTGTGGTGGCTGCTGCCCTGCAGGCCCCCGAGCTTTATGGGACTAAAGGCTGAGAAGGGGATGATGAGGGAACCCCTGCTCCCCGAGGAGGCGGGGCTGAGGGCAGGGTCGTGGCCACACTCTGCCCCACCCTTGCACTGGTCGGTGATGATGAAAGGGAAGGTCAGGGAGCCGTTGAGGTCAGGGAGGGAGTCCGGGCCCTGGATGATGTTGGCCAAGGACAAGGGAAAGGTGATGGAGCCCTCGCCCTTCTCTGTGAGGCCCAAGACATAGGACACGGGCAGGGTGGCATCTCCAGTGGGTCCACTGCTGCTGTTGGGATCGGCGCCCGGGCCCTTGTCTTGGCCCAAAAGGGAGCCAAAGCCCTTGAAGATGAAGCCTTTGACCTGGGAGGACTTGATGCTCCTGAGCAGGTGGTCTCTGCCGTGGAGGATGGGGGCCTTGATGTTGACCAGGATGCTCATGCTGGTGGGCCAGGCCCTGAGACTGGCAGGCTGGTCGGCGGAGCCCCTGTCGATGATCATCAGCCCCTGGAGACCAGCCTCGCTGGGGGTGCCCTCTCCAGGGCCAACAGAGCCCTTGTCCCTGCCCACGCTCACCAGGGTGAAGGGCACGGTGATGATGTCCATGTCCTCGCTAAAGAAGTGGCTGCTCTCAGAGAGGGGGTCGGACACAGAGGGGAGGACGAAGCCCCAGGCGCAGTTGGCCACAGGACCGCTGCCCAGGGCTGGCATGGCCTGGACGGTGCTGGGGCTCCTGGTCTCGGGCCCCCAGGCAGGGTCTGGGGGCTTCTGGAAGAAGCAGACGCCCAGGTCGCAGGCTTCACAGTGGTCCCCAAAGCAGACCTCGGGGCACTCGTCGGAGCTGATGCTCTCCTGGTAGCACT